GATTCAACGAACATTTACATGTTAATTCAATTGATTATGGCATGAGAGCGATCTCGGGTGATTAGTCAATCATTGTATATGACTTATTACATGTCAATGACTATGTACACGAGTATTGCGTGTAGATGTTAGGCAAGGCCGCCTGTAAAACGTACAAAAATTAATTAATGCATTTGCCGATGACTCCAAAATCGTTGTTGACTTGATTTCAATTGGCTCTTTGATTGATTCCACCATATTTAATGCGAAGGCCAATTCAAAGAACGAAATTTCTTGGAAGGAATTAGTTGACCCATTTTCACCTCACGGGTGAAGAGTTGTGTGGTCATGTCATGTCGTGGATGGACATTTCCCCATCAAAATTTGGTTTTAGGTTATCATTATGCATAAGACTTGATCCGTTCTATTTGGTAGGTATATATAGATGCAAATGGATAAGTCTAGTTGTGTTACTTAATTATTTTGGATTATCTCTTCGTTTAGCGCAATAAAATCTCCTAACTCACTTGATCTCTACGATCAAACCCTCGTGTCTAAGAGAAATGCATAAGCATTTATGAGAGAGAGAGAGTTACAAATAGTGGTGTTGAAAAAAGTCATGATTTGGATTATGACCGTAGTAAAATGACGATGGCCAATTTGCTGGAAATATATATTGAGTTTGAGCTGGAATAACCCGGTCTAATGAAGGGCATGAGTGATTGCCGGGGTGAGAGGTTTAGACAATTAGCGCGAATGAAAATCATTTTGTTCCAGAAATCAATTTCTGGTTAGAAATTGATTTTTCTATTACTATTCCATGAACAAGTTTTTGAGCCAAAATACACGTTTGATAACGACACAAAATTTTTGTTTCTCAAATAGAAATTCGTTTGATAACGACACAAAATTTCTCTCTTCCGAGCGGCCGACGACGGGAAGCAATCGGTAGAGGACGGCGAGCGAAGGCGGCTGGTGGACAGTTGCTGTACATATCAATTAATTCGATGTTACACTTACCGAAAATCGCTAATGTGGCAGTATACCATATAGGATGGTCAATGATGACTACACTATCATATCAACAATTTTCGGCAAAAATTGACCTGAAGGACTATATTGAAATTTCGCACAAAAGTTTATAACTAAATTGGCAAAATTAAAAAATTTAGAACTGAATTAGTACCCGTACAGTAGATTTAGGACTGATTGGGTAATTTTCTCGGCGATGTTATGGGTGTCGGTGATATTAGAATCAAAATGTACGATGACAGTGTGAGGACATTGACTTGAGAGAGGCACGCTTCAGTATTGAGAAACAACTTCATTTTCTTGAGTACCCTAAATTTAGATGGGTGTTGGTATACAGCAAAAGGTGGAGTTCTTATGGCCGTTCAAGGTGCCCTAATCAAAGGAATTAAGCACAGTGGCTAATATGAGTTTCAAAGGGGAGACATCGACGAGTTTCATCACAAAGACATCGGATGCATATGCTCGAGAGCTTGAATTGTGATATATGCTTTTGAGGGCACATTCGAAAGAAAGAATTCTAATGGTTTTGAGGGAAAGGAACGTGCTGTGTGATTGCTTGCTGAGTGAAAGGATCAAGCTTGAGGGTTTTCATACTATACCGTTTGGCTTCCTTGTCGTCTCTGCTTTTCACAGCAAGATTGTCCCTTCAAATTTGCCAAATTCCACCAGGTATACCCGTACGGTAAGCAGCCACCTAATAAAAAACCATGGAAAACCAGAAAATCAAACCAATCTAATCTCTTTATACTTTGATTTAATGTGCTAATTAGTGGGGCTTGCGTGTAGCTTTTGTTCGAACGAGACTTACTGTAGATGTCAACATGCGGTCGGCCGGTACTTGCTGGCTGTCCTCCTAAAAGTTCAGTGATCATTGTCCATATGAACGAAAAAAGATCATTAGTCAATTTTTGTACATGACTTATTGCATGTGGGGACTAGCATTTACATGAGTTTTGCGTGTCGATATTAGGCAAAGGCCGCCCGCAAAACGTACAAAATTTAATTAATGTGCTGCCGGTGGCTCCAAAAATCGTCGTTGACTTAATTTCAATTGGCTCCTTGATTGATTCCCATCAGATGTCATTGCAAAAGGCCAATTCAAAAGGAACGAAACTTCTAGGAAGGGATGAGTTGAACCCATCTCACCTCAGGCGCGAAGGAGATATGTGGTCATGTCATATCATCATGGGTGGACATTTGCGAAATCGAAATTTGCTTTTAGGTCATATGATTATGCACGAGACTCGGTCGGTTCTATTTGCTAGGTATTGACAAGATCGACGTGTCTAATTTTGTTCCTTTAACTTTTTGGATCATCTTATCGATTTTTCCATCTGATTCTGTTTGTCATCACAATAAAATATTCTGATTCGTTCGATTTCTGCAATCAAATCCTCATGTCGAAAAAAAAATGCCAAAGCATTTGAATTTCTTTAGTTAATGGGAGAGAGAGAGAGAGAGTGGGCGTGTGTGTGTTACCAATAATGTTGTTTGGATCTTGACCGTCCGATGGCCGATTAATATAGGTGACTACAATCAAACCCTCATGTCGAAGAGAAAATGCCAAAGCATTTGAATTTCCTCAGTTAACGAGAGAGAGAAAGAGAGAGTTACAAAGAGTGGTGTTCGGACCTTGACCACCACGACGGCCAACTAATATAGGTGATTCGAATAGATGGGGCCATCTCGGCGTTCATTCTTCGCCATGTTCGGTTCGGTTAGGACCTATTCTACCCCTTCCTCGAACAACATATCTACTAGAGGGGTCTTTTAGCTTCGAAACCATCTTATTTTTACCACACGTGTGGCGGCTCGGTTCGGGTGCGGGAGGCGGGACATCCTAAACGCATAGTAACGAATCTTTTCGTGGGTTCACTGCAACAATCTACATGCGCATCTGCAAACATCAAATTCATCAGCGAAGCAGCCATGGAAGTTACCAGGAAACTTACGAAAAAACAACACACAAACGCACACGCTCCGCTCCACTCGACATCAAACGGTAGGAGCCAACCCCACACAGACCCCACAGTCAAATTCATCATTCTTTCTCTTCATCTTCATCGTCTTCTTCTTCTTTCTCTCCTTCTCTCTCCTACAGCAGCACAGTGATTCAGTCACATGCATGCACGGACCCAACCAAGTCATGTGCCAAGTCCCATGGTCTGTGTTCGACCCACGAAGCGTCTGATCACGTTGAGCACTTGCCCGTGCGCTCATTGGCCGCGCAAGCCAGACAAAATCCTTGCTTCAGGTTGGAGGTGATAACGATGTGATATGGAACGTACGTACTACTGCTAAGTTGTCTTTTTCTCTTCCACTGCTGGGACCTTCCCATGACTTTTTGATTAGTCTTTTGTTAATCTCGGGGTTTTACTCTCAAATTTGTCCTTGTAAACCTCCTTCATGTTCCCTGTTCAGTCTGCCAACTTGTTCAATATAATTTCATAATTAAATTTGCCTAATCATTCCATTGAAGATACGATATTCATATTCATATCGAGACTTTAATAATTGTGACTTTGCATTTTTTTGAAGAAAATTCAGCTAGTAGATATTTTTAACCCAGCAGACCTCTCTTTTTGCTCATACGATTGACGGTTCATGTTACAATATCCTGACTTTGAAGAAATTATGTCCTATTAAACCACTTGGCGATATCTAGGTTCGTTAAGTAGTGTTAGCACTCGATAGTTATTTCGATAAATTCGCAACAAGAAATTTCATTGATTTGTATACAGAAATTAAGGAGTTTAAATCCTTCTGAATGCTACTTTACCTTATATATTATCCATCGACTCATAAATCCTATTCCTATAAAATTGGCTCCAACCACATGTACCATTGAAAATTGGATGCGATGATCTCGGCCATGATCTCCCAAAATTGACTTAACATGATTTAATAATTTTAAGCCCAATTTGGGCTAGCTAAATTATAGAAAGGCTCGCATGAAGATATTTAATTCCTTATGGGAAACTACGTGCATATCTTATAATGTAATGTCAGTTCCTAATGACAGAAGATTGGTGAGGGGAGGTGGAGAATCTTATGGTCACCAGATTATTAAATAGCTCAATCATCAGACAAAGACAATTACAATGAATGATGTAACTCTTGCTTGTGACATTATTAGATGTAGATTTTTATTGCATTTATAGAATGTCAACAGGGTGCCCCTCAATATCACGTTCTTTCTTCATCAGCAAATTTCATCATGTTCCCCGGCATTAAAAGTGATGAAACTAATAACTTCCTTACAAACAAATGACGATTCATGAACCATTTGAGCCCTAGATTTACAAAATAGATTCAGCTGTCCATGGATTTCTAGGTAATTAATGAGTTAGACGGTACTTTTGGAATCGAAATTCAGACTAATGATTTCATTGATCTGATTTCAATCAGTTGTACCCTTTTCAAAAAGAAATATCACTATCGAGTGTCGAGGTAAAAAACAATGTGAATATAGTGATTGAATGAATAAAATGCACTTCATATTTACCTATATAACATTTTGAGGTCATGTAGTTATTCATTTAATCCCTATCGGATAGATTATGCAAACCGTGAATTCAATATAGACCGTTTTGCTTCCTTACAGCGTATTTCGAACGAAGAATTCTCGCGCGCCCGATCCACGAGCGAGATGGACGGATCCGGGTCGACCCATGTCGGGGGCCAGGAGTCTGGACCCCAGCCCCGAGGTTCGGTTTACGGCCGCAGAATTAGTAAAACGAAAAGGGTATCTAAAGAAAAAAATTGAAAATTCATAACCGACCTCGAAACGCCCGATGATATGGGAAAAAGAGCAGCAAGCAAACAATTATAGTAATTCAACAATGGAGCCGTCCGACCTAAAAGAAGAGGGAGGGGGAGGAAATAATCAAAAGAGAAGGGGAAAACATTGGCCCTGGTTTCTTCAAGCTCTTCCCACATTGTGGTGTGGATCATCGAGAGAGAGAGAGAGAGAGAGAGAGAGAGAGAGGAGTCGTGCCCTTAGAAGTCTACTTGGAAACTTTATCGTGACTTCCCGTTGAAGCCTTCTCTTTCCCATTATTTTAGTGCCTCCCTCCCACCGAAGAAATCCCCCCACCAAATAAGGGGAAAAAACACTACAGTGTGTCGATTTGAAGAACAAACGGCAGCTGAAGAAGCAACCACTTCCTCCTGCAGACACAACATACGTAGTCCTCCATCACAAGAGAGATACAACCCACAATCCAAAATTTGTTCTTTTTTTCTTTTCTTTTCCTCCTCCTCCTGCTCCTCCTCCTCCCTTCATCTTTGGTTCTTTTTTCGTTTTGTTTATGTTTTCTTGATGGATAAATAGAGAAGCAAACGGAATACAGAGGGGTTTCGTGTGCCAAAACCTGGTGCTCTTAGCCATAGGAAGGAAGAAATTCCCACTCCCAATCCAGCTCTTCACGTAATTGCCCCTCAAGGGAAACCTCATCTGCTCTGTAACCCTTTTCTCTGTCGACCCTTTTGCGGTTTTGATCTGATTGCTCGTCTCTTCTGGTCTTTTGCTCATCGAGTTCGTTTTTTTTTATTCTCTGGGGGGTGTGGTTCTTGATCGGTCTGGGCTTCGCTGAAGCTGTTTGGATCTCTTACCGCTGATACAATTGGTGGTAATTTGGGGGGCAATTGTGGTCTTGTGCGCGCCCGAGGAGGGTTTGATTGGTGATGGTTGGGGGATTTACTGGGGTGTTCTGAGGATTGTAAAAGTTTGATTTTTTTTTGTTTCTTTAGAGTGTTTGGATGTTGGGTGTGCCACAATTCCAAATCTTTTTGCTGATGGCATGCTAGTTGGGTAACAATTCCTGTTGCTGTATCTCAAAATTGGGTTGGGTGTGTTCTCTCTCTCCGTGGAGGACTAGTTGTTTGCAGGCATGATCTGTGAGCCGTTGCTTTAATCATTGTCTCGGCAAAAGCTGGAGGTAAACTTTGCCCTCTCTGCCTAGGGTTTCCTTTTCAGGCCATTTCAACTCCAATTCAAGCTGTTGACCCGTCAGCTTCACTTTGCTGGGTTCCTTCTCTTACACTGTGAAGCATTGGTTGTTCAGTTGCTTTAATTGGAGACTGTGTGGTGTGGAGTTTGTGTTCTCCATAAAAAGATGAGTTCGAGTGTCACCGGGGGTGCGGTCCATGAAGGCAAGCTTCTAGTGCATATTGCTGAAGATGGGCACTCTTTTGAGCTTGATTGCAATGGGAACACTGCTGTTGGGGCGGTTATGCGGTTCATTGAATCCGTTTCCGGGATAAACTTCAATGACCAGCTTGTCCTCTGCTTGGACACGAAGCTCGAGCCCCAGAGATCGCTTTCGTCTTACAAGCTTCCGTCGGATGGACGAGAGGTGTTCATATTCAACAAAGCAAGGCTGCATAATAATTCTTTACCTCCTCCACGGGAGCATGTGGATGTCCTCGAAGTCACAGACCCTGCGACACCATCCTCCTCGGATGACCACCATCCTCTGGATGATGCTTCTGATCCTGCTCTGAAAGCTCTTCCTTCATATGAGCGGGAATTTAGATATCACTACAATTGTGGGAACGCCATATATAGACAAACGCAGGCAAAAAATGTGATCTGTGAGAGGCTCTTGAGGGAGCAGAAGGTGCAAGAAAGGGCGCTGCAGGTTGCGAGAAGCAATCTGGAACAATACTATAGAGTAATTAACCAGAATTACTCGGAATTCATGAAGCGCTATTTGCAGCAGCACCAAGTCCATTCTGATCTTTTGGTGAATTTCGAGAGGGATTTGGGCAGACTTAGATCAATCAAACTTCACCCTCAACTGCAGACAGCAACACGGAAATGCTTACTGGATTTTGTGAAGGAGGATCACTTGCGGAAGATGGCAGAGAACTGTAGCAATTCTCACAGGCAGTTTGAGAATAGAGTTTCTCAGTTCAAGCAGACGTTTGGTGAAATGAAGCGCAAGGTCGAGGACTTGTTTTCTAGCAAAGTCGCCGGTCCTGCCAGGAACTTGGAACTGATGATTAAGGAGCACCAACGTTACATAAATGAAGAGAAGAGTATAATGCAGTCTTTGAGGTTTGAATTTCTTTACCCCAACGGCCTTGGTGGCATCATCTTTGTATTTTCTAATCATTTTGGTTTACCAGCTGTTTTCCTTGGTTTCTGATTGACGACTTCCTCCACAACCTCCCCTTTCCCTCCCTCTTATTTCCCCTATTTGTTCTTTCTAATGATGTCCTTATTTGTATGGCAAATTGCTTTTGTATCTATAGATTACAGTGCTAAGGTCTTCTATGTTTTTTGTCATTCCTGCCAAAGTAAATTTCCGAATATATCGGAATAAAGTTCCTAAACTCATAAAACTATCTATAACGTGCGTTATTTTCTGTAGTATTTGATTACGTTGATTTGATTGGAAAGGGTACCTATATATATGGTCTTTAACGTAGATGCTTGTGCTGATTGAACATGGTTTCTGCGTTTCTGCGAAAGGTTTCAAGGAATAGATTGGAGCGATGTCACTGTTCTCACCATTCTTTACTGATTCTGTTGTGATGAACCTTTTTGTTAGGGCTGGCGTCATGTTGATAGGTACTATGTTTAAGTTTTCTCATGATGACGGTGTTCATATTTCTGTAGTATCTTATTGCATCAATACGATGAAGATAGCTGAATATATTTTAATGTTAGTTTTTAGCAGGTTATCTTTTATATTAGGAAGAAAAAGGGTTATCTATCATAATATAGGTGCTTGTGTGCCCTGAATATGCCATTTTCGTTGCATTCTTTTTATTTTTTAATGGTGCTAACCTATAAAAAAAAACATGAAAATTTGTGCAGCAAAGATGTAAATACTGTCAAGAAGCTAGTGGATGATTGTTTGTCTTGCCAATTATCTTCTTCTCTTCGCCCTCATGATGCTGTTTCAGCTTTGGGTCCTATGTATGATGTCCATGACAAAAATCATCTTCCAACAATGCGAGCTTGTGACAATTCAATCCGTAAGCTGCTTGAATTATGCAAGGAGAGCAAGAATGAGATGAACTTTTTTGTACATAGCTATATGCAGCGGATAGGCTACATATCTTATTTCATCAAAGATATAAAGTTGCAGTTTCCTGTTTTCAAAGAGGCAATGGCACGCCAGGACGATCTATTTATGGACTTGAAGGTAGTACGTGGAATTGGCCCTGCATATAGAACCTGCCTTGCTGAAGTTGTTAGAAGAAAGGCTTCTGTGAAACTTTACATGGGCATGGCTGGACAGTTAGCTGAAAGACTTGCAACAAAGAGGGAGGCTGAGGTCAGGAGACGAGAAGAATTTTTGAAAGCACAAAGTTCATATATACCTAAAGATATACTAGTATCTATGGGACTATTTGATATGCCAAACCAGTGTGATGTGAATATCATGCCCTTTGATACTGGTTTGCTGGATGTAGACATCACGGATCTTGATAGATATGCTCCTGAGTATTTAGCTGGAGGTCTTTCTAGGGGGGAGAAGCATGGAAACATGAAAGGTTCATTTTCCATGTCTAGCGACAGTTTGAATTCTGCAGAATCATTTTCCTCAGAATTCCCTCAAGGTGCAGAGGATTTGCCTGAGGGCAGTGAGCTGGTAGAGATTGCTGGGACGAGCAAAATGGAAGTTGAGAATGTAAGGTTGAAGGCAGAACTTGCTTCTGCAATTGCTATGATATGCTCACTCCGGCATGAAGTTGAGTTCGAGTCTCTTGATGAAAATAGTCGTGACATGCTACTAAAGACTGCTACCGAAAAGACAGCCGAGGCCTTGCATCAAAAGGATGAGTATCGCAAACATCTTGAATCTGTACTTAGAGAGAAGCAATCGCAGTGTTCCTCCTATGAGAAACGAATTCAAGAGTTGGAGCAGAAATTATCTGATCGATATTCGCTAGAACAGAAGCTTTCAACTGGCAAGGATGCCTTTGAGTTTGAAAATTCCGCAGGTGCAAAGGCTGAAGGATGCAAGCTTGACACGATAGGCAGTGGTGAAGTTCACATGCCGTGCACATCCACTGCTGATTCTATGGACGAGGTTTCCTGCATTTCAAATTCACTAAATGCAAAGCTGGGAATTTTTACAAGGCAATCAGGCAAAGCTCGAGAAGGAGTGGATGAGAATATGATGGATTCATCTGGCTTGCTTCAAACGCAGTTGGATTCATCAATGCAGGAGCCACACCGTGAAGAACTGCATGTCATTGATAATGACGAGAAGGATAAAATGCTGGGACCTTTAGGCATGTCATCGACAAACAGTTGTGCTGCTGAAAGCATGCATGAGCCTCTGAATGTCTTGTCTTGTGATGCAGTTGCTGAGGCAGGTTTAAATGCCAATGAGTGTAATGATCTCATACTTGAATTACGGAGTGCTCTGGCTGACAAGTCAAACCAAGTGAATGAAACAGAAGCTAGACTAAAAGCTTCAATGGATGAAGTAGTCGTGCTAAGGAGAGAACTGGAAGTTAGACAGAAACTTCTTGATGAGTCTCAGGTAATATCAAGTGAATAACCGCTTAGCTATTTCTTGTTGCATTGTTTTTGGTCTTTCTGTGGATTTATTCACTTCCATTTCTATCTCTAAACTTAACATTCCCTTCTGTAAACCCAGTACAGAAAGTTTCCAGCTAAGGAATTACGGCTTGCTGATAATGATATACCCATGTGCATGTGTATGCTTGTGTCTTTGTGCACTTGCAGAGATGTTGAGCTTCTTTCGTGTATTTTTAGGATATGACAAGTAATCCTCCATTTGTCTCTCTTAATTCAAGTGATCGAATTGGCAGTCACCACTCTTACATGCATAGAGTTCTATAAACAGGCTTTATATGACTAAAAAGCAACATAAAGCCTTGCGGAAGATTCTTCGGGTTCTCTATGATTTTCAAATTGATGCCGAATGGGCTCATGAATATGGAGAATGGTGTTTCGTTAAATTTCGACTCTGGTATTTCAGTTTTAGGAATCTTGACTTCTGTCTTTAGTGTGGGTGGTCTGCTTGCATAACCATCTTCACTCATATTTGTTGTTCCTTGCAGTTTGTTCTATTATTGATCTTCACATTCTCTAGCTAATCTCCTCTTCATTTGGTGAATTTGACTTAGATGAATTGCGCTCACCTCGAGAATTGCTTGCATGAAGCAAGAGAAGAAGCCCAAACCCATCTTTGCGCTGCCGATAGGAGAGCTTCAGAGTATAGCGCCCTTCGTGCATCTGCGGTGAAAATGCGCAGTCTCTTTGAAAGGCTGAGGACATGTGTATATGTAACTGGAGGCGTTGCTGCCTTTGCTGATTCCTTGCGTGCCTTGGCACAATCCTTGGCCAAGTGAGTTTCTTCCAAAAAGCGCTCATTAGATAGTGCTCTGTGTGTCCATCAGATTACATTCGCTTCTCACATTATTTTAGACGGCAGACTTTTTTCCATGTTTTAGATTGTGCCTTTGCTTTTATCTTTGTGGTTTCTCCACCACCAGTGACCACAGCAATAAAAAGTTGCTTACATTACTTTTTTCAGTACTGCAAATGAAAATGAAGATGATGGTATTGCCGAGTTCCGAAAGTGTATTAGGGTCCTTGCGGATAGAGTTGGTTTCCTATCTAGGCACCGTGAAGAGCTGCTTGATAAGAAATCAAAAATCGAAGCTGCTAATGAGCAGCTGAGGAAGGAGTTGGAAGAAAAGGAGGAGCAAGTTAAGACACTGTATAAAAAGCATCAGCTTGAAAAACAGGTAATTCCTCTTCAACTTGTGGTTTCTCAACTCTTTCGGACAGTGTCTGATGTGATGAAAGAGACTAGGGTCCAATTGTAGCTCCACCTTTCCCAACCATCCAAAGCGACTGTTTAGTGGTTTATTTTCTTAATACTTTCCTTATGAACGGGTGGGTGTACATGTGCATGCGGTCGGTCGCGTGTGCGCGTAAGTCAATCTCAACAGAGGAATGAGGAATAATAATATATTCAAGAAAGATCTAGATCTTTGGTTCACAGTTGTTATCTTTACCTCATTTCTGGGAACTAGCACATAGGTCTCTTGATGAGATTTTAGCTAGTGACTTCGAGAAAATAGGGAAACAGAAGGATTTTTTAAATAGGGGACTTTCAGTGTGTGATCCATGTTACCTATTTGCCTACTGATCCAGAACTAGGTGTTTGTCGAGTGTCCTCGACTTTCTTTAGGCCCTACCACTGAATAGTTAGCTCACCTGCGTTTCACTTAATCTGGTTTGTCCTTTGTGAGGATTTGGTTGTGCAATTCTTGTTGATAAAATGTCAATAACTTTTTCTATTTTTGCTGCTTAGGCTGATAATGAATGCATGGTTTTTCAACAGGCAAACAAGGAAAAGATATCATTTGGCCGCCTGGAGGTCCATGAGATAGCTGCATTTGTGCTTAACTTGGCTGGGCACTACGAGGCTATAAATAGGAATTGCTTGAATTACTATTTGTCTGCTGAGTCCGTGGCGTTGTTTGTGGACCATCTCCCAAGCCGACCAAGTTACATTGTTGGGCTGATCGTACACATCGAGCGCCAAATTGTGAAGCCTTTGCCTTCTCCACACCGACCTGAGCATATTAGGGCAGATCCTGTAGATCAACTGACTTCTGACGCAGAGACTGACCGGCCGGCCTTGAGCGTTTCTGGGTCGACTGGAAATCCATATGGTCTCCCTGTTGGCTGTGAATACTTCGTAGTGACAGTAGCTATATTACCTGATACTGCCATTCATTCACCACCCACTTCCTGATCCCTGCTGCAGACAGAGACAGACATGATGGAAGAAAATAAGTGTACATAGGGGGATGATCGTTTTAACTGTTCAAAGTGGAATTTGTCTTGGTGGGAGTTGTTAACTTGATTAGTTTTCTGTACAGCTGAAGAATTGATTGAGTTCGAATCTCCCATTTGTACATAAAGATTATTCCTTAGGTTTCTTTATAGTTAGATGTGAATATCAGGCCAAATGGTCCACGCTTTTCCAGTTGTGAGCTCATGGGTAAATTTATTGCATCATAAGTTCACGTATGTGTTTGCAGAGTTGATTCTGGAGTAGGTTCTACTTTTAAAAGCGCCGTCGATTTTGTTAGATGGAAGTTTTTTTTTTTCGCTAGAAATTGTTAGATGTAAGGTTATTCCTTGCCCAAACAAGTAAATTGTTTCTTTCTGAATTAGATCTGATGATGAACATCTTATGGTTAGATCCCTCTTCTTGGTGTGTGTGTGTAGTGAGGCCAGAAAACAATGGCGTCTGATGATCCTTAACAACTCTCCTTTGATTTGATTTAGCTCAAGCAAAAGTACCAAAGCATCTGCGTTCTTGAGAAGAGCCATAAGCAAATTTACAGATCCTATTGGATCACAGGGTCTTTTCACAGGAGAACAATGCCCACTAGAAACTAATGCAAAGCTTTTTACAAGGGACGGTTACCAGGACTCTTCATCAAATTCTAATTTCAGAATCCCAATACTGCCGAACAGATAAAAGCAGAAGGATGCATTTCCCTAACAAGGCACCACACAGAGTCAACAAGCATCTTTCCCCAAGTACCGGGGGGGGGGCATCTGATTGCGTAGATACCGAAACTTCTAAAGAATATACACCTTGACTATCAAGAATTACTGTCGCTGTCTTCTTCTGAAATGTTGAACAAGAAATTCGGAAGGGACGCAATCCGAGGAAGATGCAGCAGAAGCTCCCCAAACGAGTCTTTCCTCGACATGCCTGCTGGTTTTGAATCTTCTTCCAGAGCCCTAACGTTAGCAAAAGTGTTGCTATTAACCCCAGGAGTAGCATCCTTCACGTCTTTAGCTTTTTCCTCGCAGCTTTCTCCACCAGCCAAGTTCTGAACGGTCGTAGTATCCTTCTGCAAGAGGCAGCAGAGAGAATTCACCCTTGCCATGAGGGATTTTTCATCGGACGCCGCAGTTGACTGGGTGTCGCTGAGCAGGTACTGTGCAATGTCCTCCAGTATCTCCTGGCATCCTGATCCATCATCATCAGAACTACCAGAACCCATCTGCTCAGTGATACAGTGTCCAATATGGTTCATTAGATCGCTCACTGACATTGAAGGATGTAAACCGGGCACTTTTATCTGGTCCCAATTTCGAATGGCCTTTATTTCAAGTCCATCACGATTGCCGTTTCCTTCAATCACACGAGCGTCCATCACTACAAAGGAAAAACAAAATCTAAAAGGATCAGAGTAGTCACCTTCAGCATATAACCACTAAATTTAAACACTGCAATTTAGTTTTAAGTCACTTCTCATCCGGTGCAAGACCCATGAGAAAAAATTCCTCCGAGTCAATTGTGATTGATTACCGCAAGTCAGGAAATATCCAGGAGATAGAATATGCCTTTTTCCTCTACAACCAATTCTCTACTCATATTTTCTTGGAACAGTGAATGAATAATGACCTATGAAATGCAAATAAATATAATTACTATATACCTGAACTGGGAGAGGGAGCTTCTCTGGACACACGTTCTGATGTTATGCCAACACGTTCCCGTATCTCTGTCTTCACAGAGGATGACTGTGCTGCCGATGAAACATGCAAGTCGGATATTCCTGATTCTTCATCTTTTGTGCCATTATCAAATCCACAGCCTTTGGGTTCTTCTAGATCCTCAAAGATAGATGGTCGTGTGTCGAACAATGGTGATTCCAAAACTACCTCCGGCTGCCGACTTAAAAAATTGAGCCGCATGTCACACTGGATAAGCTTTTCGAAGTGCTTGTATAGAAGACCAGGTTGAAACTGCAGATAGTGTTGCCTGTTTGCACATCAAAGGAAAAAGATCAGCACACTAAACCAATGGCTTAAAAGCTACAGTCTGACCTTCAGTAAGAGATGAATGAACTTATGCAATCTGCCCATAAAACTGTGGGACATAACTATCTGAAGTAACACAAACACCAACAAGTAAACAGCATATGCAATACCAAAAAAAAAAAAAAAACAGCATGTGCAACAGGCAGGGAGTTTGCAGGAAACTTCTCTCACTTGTGAGTGCTCGCTTGTCCATCTGTGAAATCAGAGGTTGCCTGCCACAAAGTGTGCTTTCTCGGCTGTGGATTGGTCTCCCGGTAGAAAAGGGGCTGTCTGGCAAGCTGCAACAAAGCCAACAAAAAAAAAGAAAGAAAAAAATCACCATTTCTATAAACAGTAGAGATTACATAGCCACATGACTAAAGTGATGCATAAGTGCGCACCAGAGACGAGAGAGAGATTTACCACAACTTTCAATGTACTAAGTCCGTCATCGGGGCAATTCGCCTTTAAGGCCATTATATCTGACCACTGGATTTCGATTTTACTCTTCAGACCACCTTCAAGAACTTCCCAGACCAACTTATGCTTTGCGAAGTAACACTTGGCCACTAGATCACCTTCATATCTCGACTTATACTAGCAGCCAAACAAAACACGTTCTCCTTAAAAGCCCGAGTCAATCAAAGTCTGATAGTCAGTTCTATAAGAGATAATTAAAAAATAAAACAATAACAAGTACCTCCCATCGTCCAATCCTCAAGAGCGAAGCCGGGAAATTTGAAGCCTTCATCTTGTCAGTTGCACCAGAGGGAGCGTTACTTTTACCATCTTTATTTGTCTCACAAACAAGATTGTCGCTCTGAGCGGTTGCCAAGTTACAAGTGCCCTGAGAGAGCTTCATTTGAATCAATTCCAACAATGAAGGACTCTTCCTCAGTCTCAAACCCAAAGGGCTTGGCTCATCAAGTGGATTGTACTGAGAAGGTGGAACTGGAAATGCATTAGCACCCGCACCCCATAGCTGAGAAAATAATTGATCACGCAAACAAGCAGTTAGATTGAGAGTCCAATCATTCTCGAAAAGCAAAAAAAATATCATCCAAAACTAACATCCTCCTCTATTCTTTGATCAATCACATGGAAAATTATGCAATCGAGGTATGCAGAGCAAGCCCAGGTTTAGCTAACATCATCATGCTTTAGTTGCAGAATCCACAAATCCAAACCACAAGAGTCATAATAGAGTAAAAAGCCACTTATCAAAAGAGTTACAAGACTCCAGAGTGAGTCATTTTCGTGGAGTATACACTGACATATCGACAATAGCCCCATAGCATATATCTCCCGTCAAAATGACATATGGCACACCAATTCGATATCTACAGAGTAAATTACGCAGACATTCCCTAATTGTCCAAGTCCATACAAGCACCCCCTGATCACCCGCGCAGACACCACCGCAATTCCCGGAAAACTCGCAGCAACACCAGTTAACCGCGTTCCGGGGACGGTAGACAAATTTAGGAGGCGACGGCTGCATCCGAGCACGGGGCACATTCTACATCACAGGGGCATATGCACAATTTTTACTAAACTACAGGCAGTGCTACCGTTCGTGCAATTCAAAGTACTCCCAAGCTCATACAAGTCAACACCTCCCCCCATCATCTCAATCTCCAATCTCCAAAACAACGACCGGAAACACAACTTCTCTGAAGATCCTCCCCCCCAAATTCCTATGCTCCAATCTACTCACAATCACAACATAACGAAAGAAAACTAAAAATGAAGTTCGAGAAAGAAAATTTTTTTTTTTCCTTCTTTCGTTATTCCATATTCATCTCTCTTCTTCCCCCGTCAATTTTCTTTCCGGGGGGCAAGAAAAAAAAAAAGCCTCACCTGCTCCAAACCGGACGAGTCCCTGGGCCGCTTGCTGAGCGGCCCGTGCTCCTCCTCCAGCGGCGGATCCTCCACGATCTCGCGCTTCACCGGGAGCTTGTCGCCGGCGGCGGCGCACGACGCGGCCCCGCGATCCGCCCCGCCGAAATCCCCGGATTTCATCAACTGCACCATGGGGATCGGATCACCGGACGCGAACCAGACGACGACGAAGCAGGGGGGAGGGGGGGGAGGTCAACTCGAGGGACGCGGGGGATCGCGAGATGGCGAATGGGAAGGAGGAAACCCTAGGAATGGCCGCTTTTGTCGATCGATCGATCGATCGGTCCATCGAGGGGGAGAGAGAGAAGGTCGCGATCTGGCGCACGTGCCGAAAACGCGGTCCGGCACGTGCGGGAAACTGTGCGCGTCGTTTCCTCGTGGGTTGGCGGAGGGGGTGGGGCGTGGGAATTGACGGAAACGGGGCGGGGCGGGGGCAGGGGGCGGCCTAAATAGGGGAGGTGGCGGGCTATTTTTGGTAATTCGCGGATTCGGCGCGTGGGTACGCGCCAGCGCCCGCGCGTGCGCGATTTGTAAAGTGGATATATGCGGGGCCCGCGCCAGACCTAAAAAATGACGGCGGTGGGTGGTTTGACCGGACACGTGGCGGCCGATCCGGTCGTCGCTCGTTTTCGCGTGCGTTGTGCAAGCCGCCGACACGTAAGGCTGTTTTGAAAAAATTGGATTGCCCAGGGCAGGATGATCTGGCCCTAATTGAATTTCCCCCTTTTTCCCCTCTGTTTTTTGGGGGGGGGATTTGGATTTATCAGTGCATTGCCAAAACTTAGAGAATTTCTAATTGGACTTTGCCTAAGGGTAACAGTATGTTACGAACCACAAATTTTTAGAGAAGTTGATCCCACGACGATTTACTTTGTTTTTTTTTTTTGTTTTCTTTTCCCAGATCAGGTTGTTAATTTCGCGGCTGATTAAAGACGGTCACTTAATCATTTCTCTTTGAATTGATACCACGAACAATCCCAAATTGGTACACTCGCAATAAATTTAACCCAAATTTTTTTTTGACTATCGAAAAATCTAAACCGATACACATGTGACAATTTTACCCTCCGTTAAATTTGATTAATACCACGAAAAATCACAACCTAATTAATTTGTGACAAACTAAGGGGTAAAACCCTAAATCGGTACACCCGTCAACTGCCACGTGTAATCTAACTCAGCAATTTGACGGTAAAATTTAACGGAAACTGACGGAGGGTAAATTTATCACGGGTGTATCAGTTTGGGGTTTTTGACAGTAAAAAAATTAGTTTTTGGTAAATTTTTCACATGTGTACCAGTTTTCGGTTCTTCGTCGTATTAACCTTTTCTCTTTCTAATTTAAGTGACTCGTGTTAGGGGTGATCGGTTTGGTTCCGATCCAGTCCAATAGAACCGGTCATTTAGGGTTTAATTCATATTTTGTTAATTTTTGTCGATGAATTTATATTAATGAAGTTTACTTAGGGTTTAGTTCATATTCTACTAATTTCTATCAATGAATTTATGTTAATGAAGTTCACTTAAGGTTTAGTTTACATTTTACTAATTTATTTGAAGAAATAAAAAATAAAAAAAAGTATATGTAATCCGTTTGGTGCGATCGGTGAACCGGGAACCATCCCAATACTCTTGGGAATCGGACCCAATCGGTCTGGGTGATTCCCGATTTAGGCTGTCCGTATTATAGACTCCTAACTCGTGTGAACAATGGTCAAATAAAATTATTCTCCCAAGATTATAGATATGGTTATGTTTTGATTTTGAAAAGGTACTTTTTCTTTTCACCCACGTGGATGAATGGTCTCTTTTTTATAATCGTAAAAAACTAATTAATATCTTCATGGGACAACATGTGGATAACGATGAATCATTGTGTAGTTTATATACTGTACAGTCAAATTCCCATTCCCCATTAGATTCCCTCACAAGCCGACAAACCAACGTGGTTTTTCACTGTTCGAGGGGAAAAAGATCGACGGTAGTCCCCAAGTCTCGTTTACAAGAGGATGGAGCAAGTCAAAAGAAATGAGCAATACAAGAAGAGCATTAGTAACGTGGTCAATTGGTAAGGCTTTCACATGAGTACCTACTACATCGAGCCATTTTATTTTATGTTTTTTGGTCTTAAGAGGTGCTTTCATTCATTCATAAAAAAGAGGCCTACATGATGAAAATAAACAAGTCTCTGAAAACACAATATCCCGAAGGACACCCAATTTGGAGGAACAGTTCTTGTACGACGGGCTTTAGCTACTTAGCTTGCTGCTTGGGTTGGCCTAGCTAGGACAATGGCTTAATTTCGTTGAAACTTGTTGGGCTAAAAGATCATTGCATTCAAATAAGATATTCCGCAAGGCCCAAGGGGGGCTCTTCTCGGCCCAGCACCATCTCCACTAAGGATGAACCGTCGCTCTCACACTCCCACTGCACTTTTCTGTACTTTGTCGTTCATCCACGTGCGTTTCTGTTCGCTGTTTTAGAAACAGAAGCCCTTGCACTAAAGCTAGGGCTTTGGCTTGCAGAGGAGTTGAAGCTCGGACATCCTTCGAGCCATTTAAGGAAGACTGAATTCTCGGGGAAAAGTATCAAAAAAGATCCTAAGCCGATTACAACTATGTCAATCTAATCTTAAACCTTTCGATTGTATCAATTGAGTCCTAAATATTTTTACAATTTTCCAATTGGGTCCTTTCATCCAATTTTGACTGGAAAATCGCTGATGTGGAGGCCGACCATCCTACGTGGCATGACCGGTAATGATATGAACAATGTTTTTAATAATTTTTTTGAATTTTTTTATATTTTTGTTCTTATCTTTTCTTTGCTATTTTTAATTGTTTATTTATTTATTTTTTCCTTTCATGGTCCGGCAAGGGCTTGCTAGGCCCTTGCCCGTGGCTGGCGAGGCTGCGATGGCCATTGCAACCTCACTGGCCGTGGGCGAGGTGGCCCACTTGGCGAGGCCTTGCCTAGATCGGGTGAGGCCCAGGCAAGGGCTTGCTGGGCCTCGCCTAGTCACTGGCCAAAATGAAAGGAAAAAAAAGAAAGAAAAAATAATTAAAAAATTCAATTTTTATTTAAAAATGTAAAAACTGTCAACATTGGCACTGGCCATGTCACGAAGGACGGCCGGCATTTTTTTTTTATCGGGAAAAAAAATCGGTCAGAATGATTCAATTTGCAAATTGTGAAAGGTTTATAATTCAATTGGTACAATTGAAAAGTTTACAATTGAATTAGCACAATCGTAATAAGTTTAGGACTTTTTTAGTAGTTTTCCCCAAATTCTTGTCCAAGCCCACTTATCTTTAACGGGCCCGCCGAAATCACAGGCGGGCTGTCGAGTCCCGAGATATGGAGAAGCAACTCGGCGTCGAATCGATGCCAAAAACGTTCGACGCGTCTCGTCCTCGCCACAGCTTTCTGTTTGTTTTTGTTCACATTGAAAGATGAGGACGAATGGAGGACGGATAGGTTGTCGCATCTCAAGCGATGAAAAATCTACCGTCTCTAGTTCGTACCTCCAAACGTGCTGCCGATATTGATAGGAAAGTGGGGCTTTCACATTTTCTTGGTAAGTCAAATAAGCTGAGGAGATGATGATGTTTACCTCCGTTGAGTGAAAGTCTACAAACAAATTGAATAGAGCTAATGTCCATTTGATGAAATGAGCTAAGTACATAGAACTTGGTTGTGGACTGTTGTATTTGTTCATGTCTGTGGCCATCTATGTGTATATTCATCTTTTAATTATAACCCATTTTTGTACATTTTATTCAAAACGACCCATTTTACTGTAACACTTCTTCATATATGAATGGTAATACTATTTCACGTTGATGAACATATGAAACGATGCATGCGATTATTTAACTAATGTTTGCATAATCTATGTGGTAAAAGGGCACGTTTTATCTTCAAATCTTTTTGTTTTGCAAGTAATGCAATAAGAAGATCCTTCCTTTGCATTAGGAAACTCAATTTCGGCGGTAATAATTTTCCTTTAGCACGTACCACTTAATTGGCAAACAACTAATCTCCATTGCGAATGACTATCTCCTGTATCGATCTACGAATTCCGTGGATGGATTCGAGAAATTCGACGGCGGTGGGAGTCGTAAAATTGAGGATCTTGCTTCCTGAAGCGGAAGGTCGGAGCGTCCAACCACGACGCCGATCCCCGACGGGTTAAACTCATCCGCCTAACCATATCAACGATTAGCAGGAGCACCACTCTCCATGTGCCTATCCTTTCAAGCTCGAGAATGGAAAGTTTTGTTGAAGGTCACAATTTCTTCAGCCGAAACCTCTGGATGGAAATAGAAGAATCGTGCGTATTCCAAAAGTTTGATTTCTTGACTACTGGGACCAGAATGCTTATGAAAGGAAGTGTAGGATCTCCACTTTTGATATTGGTTCTTTTGGTCCTGATCTGTGGACCTGTTAAACTATAATCATGTGAGACGCACTGGAGAAAATTATTGTGATTGACACTGTTCACAATGTTAGGAATTTGAGAAGGTATTTGGTCAGTGATGCTTGAGGTAGGATATCTTAGGCCAATATTTAATTGATGCCACGAAATTTTTTTGAGAAACTAAAGTATATTGTGTTTGCTTGTAGCTTCGTACGCTCATTTTCTAATTCGACCGATATAAGTTGCGAGACATTGTATTGTTAAGTTTTGTCGGACAACCATTTCATTATTGAATTCATGTGAAGCATCCCGACTCCCGAGATATAGTGCGCACACATGGAACGAGTTATAATGCGAAAGGATGATAAATAGCACAAATGATCTCTGAACTTTAGTTCAATGTGTAATGTTGCCCTTAAATTTTTAATTTGATCAATGAGATATCTAATCTATTGATAAATATTCAATATAATCCCCGAACTATATGAAAATGTTTTAAAAGTTCAAGAAGCACATTGAACATTTGACAAAAATTGAGGGACCACATTGAACAAAATCAAAAGTTCAGGGACGACATTGCACGTTGGACCAAAATTGAGAGACCACATTGTACAAATTAGAAGTCCAGTGATCACATTACATATCGGACCAAAGTTCATGAACCATTCGTGTTATTTTCCCTGATGTAAACTCTATAGCTACTCGAGTAAATAAATACGGTAAACTCACGGAAAATTTTCTCAAAACGGGTATAAAAGGCACGAAAGTACTCTTCAAATAAGTTTT